TATGGCCTTTATGATGCTCCCACGCACACGCGAGCCTATGCAGCAAGATGGCGTTGCTGTGTGTCGCGATTGAGTGTGTTCATGCACACCGTCTGCGCCCTCCCCATTACCGATCTCCTCAGCTTTTGTCTTGACATCCGGATCAGGTGTCGGAGTGGTCAGAGAGTGGGCTAGATTCTCCTCCAGTCTACTTTCACTATAATCAATGGGAGTCACCGCGTTAATTCAGCCTACTAGAGCTCGTTGTGGAAATTGTCGAGAGCGACGATCAGATTGTCGTCATATGTCATTTAAATTGTTATCGTTCGGTTTTACACCATGTGAGGATTATGGGAAACGCATTTTGGACCAGTTTAACTAGGCCTCAGTAAATATGCTTATAGATTTATCAACAAAACCTGCACTACAGTCACTGTCATTGCAGCAGATATAAGTGACTTATGACGTTCAATTTAAGTAAAATATATCGAGCAATTTTTGAATTTTTTCTAGGGACAATGAAAATCGCGCGTCAACGCATACATGATTACATTTTTTTCAATTCGCATCTCTTATGCTATATAAACAGGTACTAGTGAGACCTATTCCTTGCTGTCATAACACTCCATCTGCCACTCTGCTGTAAAACCCAAACTTCTTCATTCCATGCCAATTAATTATTCTTCTCTCTTAGTCATCAGGGCCTACCTTTGATGGTGCAGGTGAATTACAAAAATAAGTTCCCATAAAGTTTTATTTCCATCCGTGTGCGTTCGAATGGACTACTGATAAACTACTCAATCTGTTATGATAAGGCTGGTATACATTCTTCAGTCGTCAATACAAGCAAGCATGCGAGTCCCAGGAAGTAATTGAGAAGAAGACGACTCGATTGCTCGGAGGCTGTCGGCCAACACCCGTACCACTCGGAGTTGGAATCGCGCACAGGCCGGAAGCAACCATAAGGCGTCAGATCAGGAAACCGAAAGACCCACTGGCACGACAGGAAAGGTCTGCAGTCGTCTGCAGGATCTGGTGCAGTTTCCGGCAAAGCAACTATGTTGGAGAGACTGGCAGATTTCTCGAGACGCGAATTGTTGAACACGCGGCAGGGGCGCGGCGAACTGATGACAATTCTTAAGTTGCGGCTCATTCGACGAGACCCGACCACACATTCAAATTTGATGATGCCGAAATTCTCGCAAAAGGTGACAATCGGGTGAGCCGAGAATTACTTGAGT